TTTATTTATTTATTTATTTATTTATTTATTTATTTATTTATTTATTTTGCTTTCCTCCAGCCCCGAATTTTTCCCATTTTTAAACAGTAAGCCTTCTCTTTAATACAGAAACTTCAGTGGAAAAGATTGAGCTTGGGGGCTGATGGAAATTTAAGCTGCATAGTTTAGAATCCATTGGGGGAGGATTTATGAGATGGGAAAAAAATGCATTTTTGGGTTTGAAAGAGCAAGAGAAACCATTTTTACCCAGCAAAGTTAACTAATATAAAAAGGGCTTTGGTTTTTCATGAATCAGGCCTCTGGTGACTCTTTTCAGCTGGTGCTTTTTAAGTGTATACAAATACTGTTTATCCACCTGGTTGCTGCTTCATAGCTTTGATGTGTAGTATTTCTTTGTAGGATGCAGCTTTGAGCCGCAGTCTGCACCTTACTCTCAGTTAGGCAAGTACACCTATATCGTGATTGGCATCTTTTACTTGTGTGATTGGCATGCTCAATATCCTCCACCAAATAAACGGCAGCAGCTTATTGTATGTCAATAAAATTGTCTAATTGTCATGAAAATCCAGTTATAACACTTCCCCAATTCCTTAGAAAAGCGTATTTTTAAACTTTATACCAAAAGAGGATTACATTTCCCCCCAGTCTTCGTATACGTCAATGCAGAGCACTCTTTATGAGCGCTAACGTGGGTGAAGGTACAAGTCAGACCAACAGTTATAGTGTTTGTAGTGTTTGAAATTGAGCCCTTTTTTGGTATTAGTCTATCAAAAGCGACGTGTTTTCTTATCAATGTCAATTTTGCTTCCTGTTTCTCTCTCCCATGCCTTTCACTTGGAATGACAACAGTTGACATTAAAAAGCTGTTGGCAGGTATGGAATAACATTATTCTGTTACAAATAGCAAAGACCAAAGTGCATGTGAGGTGGCTCACAGGTTCAATAAATCAGCAATGACATCTCTCCGGAGTGTGTTATTGGTAGGCAGCATTTAGAACTTGGGTAGTAACGATGTGTGCAAAGATGTCATTCTGTCTTCACCTAGCGTCCAAAATACCTACTGCTCCAGCAAAGTATTTTCCATGTTAGTGTTAGGAGTAACATGCAAACTGTTATTTTTAAGGTACGAAGGAAGCAACCTGTCTCACATCCAAAGTCACACTCATGAAAATTAGGTCATGTTGCCGATAGCTTTGCAGCCTTTGAGCTTCCACTAGCGCTGAGGAAGTTTTCAAAACGACTAGATGTCAGCACTCCTGCCGAGGGGATATTTCCTGGTTTCACTCAGTGTGTTTTATCCCTCCTCCATCTAGGCCTGTAGATCCTAGCCTCCCCGCCTCAGGGTTACACAGGCATCTTAGCGCACCCTCTCCCTTTATGTCTCTGGTGTACTGTTGTCCCAGTCACCGGGTGAAGGGACTTGCACCTTCCAAAATCGATGCCACTTCACTCCCGGATCACCTGGTTGGGAGTGCAGTCTGAGTCAGGTAACCCCTGCTGAATCGGTCTCGTGTCCTCCGTCTGCTTCTGGGTGCAGAGAGTACCACCTCCCAGGACGTGGCCCCTGTCTGCTCACTCACAGCCCCCCCGTGGCCCCGGACACCTCCTTCCTGCATGGCCGCATGAAAACGGGACACGACACTCCTCCCCCGCGCAGGGGTGTGTTGCGGTACACGGAGCTCTTCGGGTCCACCTCAGTAACCGCACTCCCTTCTCTTGTTCCCAGTGGCCTGGTTCGCTTTCGACCCCGGCTCGGCACACGCTGACATCATCTTCTCCAATGACAACCTGACCGTGACCTGCAGCAGCTACGATGACCGGGTGGTGCTGGGGAAAACCGGCTTCTCCAAGGGTGTCCACTACTGGGAGCTAACCGTGGATCGCTACGAAAACCACCCTGACCCCGCCTTCGGCGTGGCTCGCATCGACGTGATGAAGGATGTGATGTTAGGGAAGGACGACAAAGCCTGGGCAATGTATGTGGACAATAACCGGAGCTGGTTCATGCACAACAACTCGCACACCAACAGGTACCCGGCAGCCCTCAGACCGAGCCTTCTTCACGTTGGCTTCTGGTGAAAAAACGAGAGCCCAAGTTCCACGTCCTGTTAAGTAGACAACACTGAGGCAGCCAGGCAGGTGGTCTTCAGCAAGTGGCACAGGAGTTCTACTATTCTCACCTGAGTCCTTCTCAGTGGTTAACTGATGGATTGAGGGATGTTTTTTCTTTTTTTCTTTCTTTTTTTTTTTTTTTTTTTGCGACATGCCAGAAACGTGAGCCCTTTCCTAGGCCCTTCACTGTGGCTAGAAACTGAGACTCCCCATGCATATCCGTCCCAGGAAAACATCCCAGGATTGTAAAATCCAGACCCACAACTTACCAGGAGAACCGTTTAGTTTTTCTGAACCTTCGTCTCCAAATCCACCCAGTTAGGATAATAATATTTTTCTGGACAGGAGTGTTCTCCAGATTAAATGAGATATGTGAAAATGCCTCACATCAGAGGCAGCTGAAAAACAGAAGCCATTGTTCTTCTTGTTAGGATTATTATCGATACCACTGCCCATGATAGAAGCCATGCATTCAACTAAATCTTACGGATGCCAGTTTGGATAGCTTTAGATTTTGTAGGACCCTTATTATCATATAAATTCAGAACATCCAGTTTGCTGGGGAAGGAGAACATAGTAATCTCCTCAGGTTTGCCTCTAACACCAAAATATAGGCAATTATCATTTAACCCAAATTATATTTTTTTCCCCTAGACTTCCTTTATCATTTGGTTTGCCTAAGTCAAGAGGTGTCTTGCAGGGATCCTCGTCTACCTTATTCTCAAAGATTTTTTCTAAGATACACTCTCTTTGGTGTTTTGAGAAAAAAAAATACAGCTCTATCCAGTCAGATCAAGAGGAAAGTGAGGCTGGCAGTGGTAGGCTGGTGGACTGCACTGTCTCAGCTTTTTCTGGAAGGTCATCACTGCTCCTTCTCTAGTCGGTAGGATTCCTAGGACCTCCACTTCCCATTCCCTTGGATGTTTTCTATACACGTCCATCCAGGTGTGTGTTGTTCATTATCACTTAAAGTGAACACGCATACCATTTCAGCCTGATATCAAATGCTACTAGGTATAGACAAACGGTCATCTTTGGTGATTTACATTTGCGGGAGCCCTCAGTCACTAGATCCCTAATGCCATTCCCCCATGTACCGCACTCACTTTTCGCTTCTAGCTTCTTTAGTTTGGAGTGAAGGAGTAAATAATACCACAAGGGTCACACTATGCAAAGAAACACATTCTTAAAGCTGAACATGTCTGCTTCCGTGCAAACTGTGCTGTCATTGTTGAAGTTGTGAATTAACAAGATGCGATTTATAAACCTGTCTTTTAACGACTATGTACAGTCTGTATTCTGCATGCCAGGGGGAAAGAACAACACTTACCCAGTTTCTGTGCTCTGCTGAGATGAGGATGAAGTTCAATATTGCTAGACCTCAAAGAGTTGGGGGGTAAGGCAAATCTGATCGTCCATGTTAATGGCTTTTGTGAAACCATCAATTGAAGCATAAGACATAATTTGCTTTAAAATGACATTTCAATTCAGGTTCTTTAAAAATCACTCCTCCATTTTCCAGGATATAATTGTTTCGCTTTGCAGGGGAGAACCCTCTCCGACGTTGTCATTTTTTAGAGAGCCTTCTCAATTTAAACTCAACATGCCCAAAATTAACATCTTTCTGGAACAAGTTTTTTCTATTAAATCGGTAGCATAAGGCCCCACATCCAATTTTTCATGCATATGCTTTCGATTCAGCGTAAGTGCTTCTTAATTTTGACTTTCAAATTAAGTCATTTTGGAGTTGATGTTTAATTCCCACCATTTGTGCCAAGTGCACCACGTAGCTGCAGACAGGGCTCTGATAGCCCAAAGCCGACTTTTCTTTTTCTTGGACTTGAACGATTTGTTTTCTCTTTCCGCGTCTCAGAGGTAGAGACCCTCTGGGCATGAGTTCACTGTGAATGACAGCAGAGCAGCATGGTCGAACCTATATTCTCAACAGGGGGCGATATCTCTCCCAAGGGAGTGAAAGTTAGTGTGTGGGGGGTAAGCAAAAAAATCTTACTCTTTTTATTTACAAAACACAGATATACACACAACACATAAACAGATACCGAGTATATCTGTGGTAATAAAATGATATGTGAGGAGGGGTGACTAGGGGAAAAAAAAATTACTTAAAAATGCTCCTGGGGTGTGGGGAACGATATTTTTAAACAGGCTGAGAAATACCGATTAGTACAAAAGGGTTTGTACATTGAGTACAAAGAGGGGAGCTTCTAGAATGAAGACAAGTGAAACCCAGTTGTTTTCTTTTCCCACAGAACCGAGGGAGGGATCACCAAGGGGGCCACAATCGGGGTCCTCCTCGACTTGAACAGGAAAACCTTGACCTTTTTTATCAACGACGAACAGCAGGGTCCCATAGCTTTCGAGAACGTGGAAGGCCTGTTCTTCCCGGCGGTCAGCCTGAACAGGAATGTGCAGGTAAGCGCCGCGCCCCCGCGCCTCGCAGCAGCTTCTGCTCGCTCTGCTTCAAAGGCTGCCCGCGGGGGGTACGTTAGCCCCTGAGAGAGGGAAGCCAACCGTGTAAGGCCCAGACTGAGACCCGGAGGAAAGGAGAGGGGAAAGGGACCAACGTTGACAACTGAGATGATCCCAGATCAGCATCAGCCCCTTCGTTAAGCTTGGACACAGTCTCACAGCAAGTGGGAGATTGGAACTCAGTTCACGGTTTGCTCTTGATCGGCCCTGAGGCCTAGTTTCATCCCTAGTAGGAATGAGACCCTTGAACCAGCTGGCTTGAAAACAGAAGGAATGACTTATGCAGAGCTCCATGAGCGCCCGAGAGGTGAAGGTATGAGACGGAAGTATTAGCACCGTTACCAGAAAGCCTGAGCATCTTCTCTGCACTGTTCCTCCGTTCCGTTAGGTCTTGGGGCTAGAGAACAGTCTCCATCTGCGGGCTACTTACGATTTACTGCAAAAGGCAAACAGGTTCTTCTCATGCATTCATTCAACAAATAACCACTGAGTGCCTTTAATATGTCAGGCACTGTAATTATAATTATTATAGGCATTGTTGTTTATCAGTGAAAACAAAACATAAAAATCGTGCCCTCGTAGAGCTCGCATTCGAGTTATGGGAGATAGGATCAATAATAAGCACAATGACCGTGTTAATGATATACGTGCTAGAAGGCAGTAAGTGCAAGGGAGTCGAGGCCAAGGGCAGGGCCGGGGGGGGGGGGTGGGGGGGGGGGGGTGGGGAAGGCCGCAGTGTCTCAGCCAGGGCGCTCCGTGTGGGTGGGCCCTTACTACCGTCCCAGGTGAGCTGGGCCCTAGAGGCAGTGAGCTGTGTGGAGCTTTCCAGGCAGAGGGACCAACCAGCACAAATTTTCTAAGGCATGAGGGGCCGCAGGGGAGCAAGGCGGGGCCAAGGGGCCCTGGCTGGGGCAAAGACCGGAGCCGTGGGGCACCCTGCGGGGCACTGCTAGGCTGGTCTCTCCCTGCCCTTCTCCGCTGGCGCTCTTATCAGCCGCGCACCATTCGGCAGACAGCTGCAGGCCGTGGGAATCATAACCCTGCAGGTGTTTTTTCTTCTGTTCAGAACCATAGTCTTGGGAGCTATAAAAAAAAAAAAAGAAAGAAAAGAAAACCATTGTTGTTTATCAGCATGTGCAGTAAAAGTGATTGCAACCCAGTGACCTCTGCCCTTCTCTCTTCCTGCGACTAGATGGGGTTTTCTGGGAGGCTGAAATCTAATCTCTCAGAGTTCAGCCTCTGCATTGGAAGAAAGGAACCCATAAATTGTCCTAGATGTGAGTCTTAGAAAAACCTCCTTCAAAGTCTTCCCCATTTTCAGCTGTTTCCCCTTCCAAAGAATATTGTCCTCAATGGTCTTCAGTGGTTTCCAGGATGTTCTGAGTATCCTTAGAGAAAGACTCTGGGGCTGGGGAGACAGGGACGAGAAGCGGAAGGACAGTAGAGCATGAGACACTTCTGGCCTCGTCCATGCAGCTGTCCACCAAGGTGCGAGGCTGCACAGGAACCGGGGAAACAGTACCCCTGCCCGTGTTTCTTATACCTGGCAATCGTCTGTTCATTCCCCCAACGGAAGCCTCATCCTAATCGGAGTAACTAGTAGTGGACACGCGGTAAGAGAAGGGTTCTCCGCTCACCGGTTCTCTATCCATGGATTTGGCTTTGTCACTGCGCCCTCACCAACAGGCTCTGCCACCTGCAGATCAATGCCTGTGTCTTCAGTCAGAAGGAACACAGCCTTCCCAGGATCCTTAAAAGAGGCAGGTGGATGAGAACAATATTATCAAGATTTGGGAAGCCCCCACGGTGGCCAGGCTCTTAGCACAGGCAGAATTCTACAAGAATTCTTCTTTAACGTCTACTAGAATAGACGTTAAAGAAAGAGAACAGGTCCCCTGCTGAATCAGGAGAACATCCACTGTGCCCCCGGGGAGGGGCAGATGCAGGGAGGGTTCCCGCGGTGCCTCCAGGACTCACAGTCTCATCCCCCAGGTCACGCTTCACACCGGGCTCCCAGTCCCTGACTTCTACTCCAGCAGAGCATCAATAGCCTAAGGATGGGCTGTGGAGGCACCAGCTGCCCGTCCTTACCTCCGTCCTTACCTCCGCCTGAGAGAGCGACAGCAGGAGCTCAGCCAGCATGTGGTGGGATGCCGGAGAGCTGGAAGCAGAGGGGGAGGAGGAGAGAAAAGCTGGTCCCCACGTGCTCACACCCCACAGCGCTGCTCCACCCCTTCCTTTCCAGCCTCTCTCCTGTTCTGATGCCTGCGTTCACTTCTGCGTCCCGTCCAGCAACTCTAACCAACAAAGGACCTAGACCGCCCACCCTGTCACTTAGTTTCCACTCCCAGATTTTGCTTTTATTTTACATAAGCTTTTTTATGTAGGTGAGTTATATTTTGTTTCTTTCTGATCATGTTATTAGTGACTTACTGAACTGTTACTGCCAAGAGAATCTTCTCCTGATAAACTTTTTCTTAAGCTTTCTGACAAAGAGGTCGTAGAGAGAGGTGGGGAAGAAGTAGTTGAATTCGGAGCTTGCAGTTTACCTCCTAGAAGGTTCTTGCCGTTACCTCTCGTGCAGTGTTAGCCCTGCATAGCTAATCTTTGTGAGGTGGGCAGAGTGAATGCAGCATCGAGAAGTTTTACTATCCATTGACACACAAAAATAATAGTCAAATGGCTACACAAAGTTTCACCGCAGGCAGGATCATTAGGAGAGCTGGGTCATTGAATCAAACTACAAAGTCTCTAGACAGAGACAGACCAGGGGGTTTATGATTTGGTTCATTCATTTAACACAAGTTTTTAACTGAGAACCTACTATGGACCAGGCACTGTTCTAGACACTGGAGACACAGTGGTGAACAAACAGGTGTGCTTACCGCCCTTCTGGAGCTTACATTCTCATAGGAGAGCAAACCAAAAATAAGACAATTACAAATTATTATAAATACTGCAAAGTATATAAACAAGGGGCAAAGAGGCTCATTGGCAAGATCTCTCAGTTCACCGAGAATGATGCTAAAAATCTACCAATTCTGGCCATGGCACCAGAAACATACCAACTCAATGCCTTTTCAGCTATGCTATTTTAATTATGGTACCTGCTGCCATTCATCACAGAGCCCTCCTTTGGCAGAAATGATGTCAGCATTCTTATTTGTTAATGCTGCAACGACACTAAGCCTTAAATATGAATGTGGGAAAAAAAATAGTGACCAGAGAGAGAACCCATTTTCAGTAATGGGGGACCTTAATTTGCAGTCCATGGCATCCACATTCTCAGGATAAACTCACTTGTCTCCATGTATATCTGTGCCTGTTACAAATGACAAATCCATCCACTCTGCTGCCATTCACAACCTAACTTTCTGGAGTAGTTCAAATAATGTTTGGAAGAAAATGAAATTGTATGTCATTGCTGTGACTGATAACAGAGCGATAATTCTTATTACTTCTCTATAGAGATAGACTTACACAGTTACCCTTCAGATTCTTTAGTTTGACATGAAGTTTTAGAAAATGTAGAACATGGAAAAAAAGGTTCTGATTAGTTGTCTAAATATTTGCCAGTGAGCCAAGAAATTCCGCATGAAAAAACAAGAATAACAGATAAAAGAGAAGTGGTAGGTTGGGAAAGCTAACAAACTAAAGTTTTGGCAAAAAGTAATATATGTAAATAGCTAATTATTTCCTTTTGTGCTTTATTGAGCTCATCTCTATCAGTTACAGTGTTTTTCTAGTTACGTGTACCTAATTTATTGAATGGGTGCTATCCTGTTTATGTCCATCTTGGTTTCTTGGCTACAGAAAAACTGTTGCAGGGCAACACTAGTTTGATATTTGATTTACTCTCCAATGAGACTCGATGGCTGGGCCGCTGTAGACTCATAGTTACTCTTGTTGTTTATTAAATTCATCCTGCTAAGTAGATTTCTAGTGACTTGTAACACAGAGTTTACACAGAATTGCCATTGTAGATGCATACAGCTACTGTACTAGAAAAATGGATATTTCTGGTGTGCCAATAAAAGATTTTTATGAGAGAATCGCATGTCTCTTTAAAATTTCTTAGTTTTTGCCTATTTGGGATGACTATTCACCTTTGTCAGCGCAATATGTCTTTAGCTAAGTGTGATTGGAAAGTCCCCCAGAGTTCTTGAAAGTACTTGGCCCTCACCTGATTTCCTTGGGAGCACGTACACTGTCTCCTGGTGGTACCTACCTCCTGAATCTTAACTTAGTGAGAAACATCTATAGTTTAGATGCCGTTTGGGTCCCCTTCCAAATCTCAGGAACTGACTTTCACAAACCTGCTCCTGAAAAAGGCCATAAACTTGTACTACAAAGTATAGTGTCACTGCCTTTTTCAAATCTGGTTCCTTCAACATTTCTTTGAATGGCTGAACAATATAATTGTTTTTAAATAATCACAACGGGGATGCCTGGGTGGCTCAGTCAGGTAAGCATCTGCCTTCAGCTCAGGTCATGATCTCAGGGTTCTAGGACCCTGCTCCCTGCTCAGCAGGGAGTCGGTTTTCCCTCTGCCCCTCCCCTCTGCTTGTGCACTCTGTCTCTCTCTGATAAATAAATAAAATCTCTAAAAAATAAGTAGGGCGCCTGGGTGGCTCAGTCGTTAAGCATCAGGTCATGATCCCAGGGTCCTGGGATCAAGCCCCGCATCCGGCTCCCTGCTCTGCGGGAAGCCTGCTTCTCCCTCTCCCACTCCCCCTGCTTGTGTTCCCTCTCTCGCTGTCTCTCTCTGTCAAATAAATAAATAAATTCTTTAAAATAAATAAATAATCACGACAGATCTGATCACCTTTATATTATAATTAACCCTTTTTTAAAAGATTTTATTTATTTATTTGACAGAGAGAGACACATTTATTTTTGGCTATAAATTTTATTTTTATTTAAATTCAATTAATTAACACATAATGCATTATTAGTTTCAGATGTAGAGGTCAGTGATTCATCAGTCTTATATAATACCCAGTGCTCATTATATCACATGCCCTCCTTAATGCCCATCACCCAATTACCCCATCTCCCCACACCCAGCCCCAGCAACCCTCAGTTTGTTTCCTATGATTAAGAATCTCTTATGGTTTGTCTCCCTCTCTGGTTTTGTCTTGTTTTATTTTCTCCTGTATGATCCTCTGTTTTGTTTCTTAAATTCCACATATGAGTGAGATCGTACGATAAATGTCTCTCTCTGATTGAATTATTTCGCTTAGCATAATACCCTCTAGTTCCATCCACGTCATTGCAAATGGCAAGATTTCATCTACTGATGGCTGAGTAATATTCCATTGTGTGTGTATATATATATATATATATACTACATCTTCTTTATCCACTCATCTGTTGATGGGCTCTTTCTATAGTTTGGCTATTGTGGACATTGCTGGTATAAACATTGGGGTGCAGGTACCCCTTCGAATCACTATGTTTGTATAGTTTGGATAAATACCTAGTAGTGTAATTGCTGGGTCGTAGGGTAGCCCTATTTTCAACTTTTTGAGGAAACTCCATACTCTTTTCCCGAGTGGCCGCACCAGCTTGCATTCCCACCAACAGTGTAGGAGGGTTCCCCTTTCTCCACATCCTCATCAACTTCTGTCGTTTCCGGACTTGTTAATTTTAGCCATTCTGACTGGTGTGAGGTGGTATCTCATTGTGGTTTTGATTTGTATTTCCCTGATGCCAAGTGATGTTGAGCATTATTTTGATGTGTCTGTTGGCCATTTGTATATCTTCCTTGGAGAAATGTCTGTTCATGTCTTCTGCCCATTTCTTGATTGGATTATTTGTTCTTTGGGTGTTGAGTTTGATAAGTTCTTTATAGATTTTGGATACTTTATCTGATAAGACGTTTGCAAATATCTTCTCCCATTCTGTCGGTTATCTTTTGGTTTTGTTGATTGTTTCCCTTGTTGTGCAAAAGCTTTTTATCTTGATGAAGTCCCAATAGTTCATTTTTGTCCTTGCTTCTCTTGCCTTTGGTGATGTGTCCAGCAAGAAGTTGCTGCAGCCAAGGTCACAGAGGTTGCTGCCTGTGTTCTCCTCTAGGATTTTGATGGACTCCTGTCTTACGTTTAGGTCTTTCATCCATTATGAGTCTATTTTTGTGTGTGGTGTAAGGAAATGGTCCAGTTTCATTCTTCTGCATGTGGCTGTCCAATTTTCCCAACACCATTTGTTGAAGAGACTGTCTTTTTTCCATTGGATATTCTTTCCTGCTTTGTCGAAGATTAGTTGACCATAGAGTTGAGGGTCCATTTGTGGGTTCTCTATGCTGTTCCATTGATCTATGTGCCTGTTTTTGTGCCAGTACCATACTGCCTTGATGATGACTGCTTCGTAATAGAGCCGGCTTCCGCTCTGATACCTGGGAGCTCTGCCGCACTCAAGCAGCCCCGGTCTTTCTGTGCCCCCGAGGGTCCTGAGACCACACTGTCCCAGCGAGGGTCCCACCCTGCTTCACCACCTGAGCACCTTTCAGGCAGGGACGTCCCCCACTGGAGCAGACAAGTTCCAATTTTGCACTCTGCTATTATATCACTTTCCGGTAGGCGGCTAATGGAGGCTCCCTCCTCCCGCGGTTTAGCTTCCTATATATCACCTCGGATTCACTTCTCCGCACCTCCTACCTTACAGAAAGTCCTAGTCTTTCTATTTGCAGAGTCGTAGCTATTTTCTTAGATCTCTGGTTGAGTTCACAGGTGTTCAGAATGATTTAATAGCTATCTAGCTGAATTCCTGGGACCAGACGAAACCGAGGTCCCCTAGTCCTCCACCATCTTGGACTCCTAGGGAGAGAGCACATTGCCCTTTTTTAAAAAAGATTTGTTTATTTATTTTAGAGAGAGAGCATGTGCAAACAGGGGGAGGGAAAAGAGGGAAGGAGAGAGAATCCTCAAGCAGACTTCCTACCGAGCGTGGAGCCAGACTTGGGGCTCAGTCTCAGGACCCCAAGATCATGACCTGAGCCGAAACCAGGAGTCCAATGCTCCACTGACTAAGCTACCCAGACACCCTTGTCATTACCCTTTTAAAGTGAACTGGGG